GAGGTTGGCCCAGATGACCTCCACAGGTCCCTTCCAACCTCAACCATTCTGTGATTCTGTGATTTTGTTTGGGTGAAGTTACAGATACAAACACAGTCTAGCTTTGACAGCTAACACCTGGTCTTTATCAACTGTTCAGAGAAAGACTAATGCTCAGGCTTTCTTTCACTATTCATCAACCGGTAAGAAATGCATTTGCTACTCACCAGCTTGCCCTTATGGGAATTATCATTTGAAACATGCAGTGAGAAATCACATTTTGCATGTCCAATACTGTTACCCATACTGGGTATATTCAGATAGCCACACTGAGCATCCAAGACTGTAAGACAAAAGGCAGTTTTGAATCCAGCTTTGCTATTTAAGTGTGTGTTGTTCTACAATACAGCTGTACTTACAAGTACAGTAGAGCTTTACACCGTAATAGTGTAACAGATTCTCTTCTGCTTTTTGCTTTTTTTTGACCCAACAGAATCAACTTAGCTCTGGTAGAAACCAAACTCCTGTCTTGTGCATCAACAACAAAATTCTCTTGCTCTGACTGTGCAAGTCCAAAACTTACATTCCATTGTCTGGTTTTGGAGCAAAGGGGAGATTTTGTGGCAAATCCAAGGGCCTTCCTGAACCATTGTACATCCTCTGTCCTCTCAGCACTGCTAGAATTTGTCATTAACCCCATCCATCTCCTGTCTCCTGGATGATGAATAGATTCATCCACTGCATACTGCTTAAATTCACCCAGTCATCTAGTTAGAGGTGAAATATCGCAATACGCACCCACGCGCACACAGTGCTCTCTGAAATTTTAATCTGCTTAACCTGATTACATAGTAGGAGATAATGCTGCACATACAATTCCTGAGTCTGCAGTGGCAGAATGAGGCAAGCGGCAAATCAAAAAGCAGCACTTTTTTGTCTGCTGTAGGTAGGAGCAACCTGCTGCAGATGCACAATGGCTTTGATCATCTGCCGTGTCCTTAACTGGGGGAGACAATGCTGGTGCTATTCTTCCTTCTTTGCTCTTCCTTTTTCTTGGGGGGGCTGTGACTCTCTTTTATTCCTTTTGTCATCTTCTTTGCATTTTCACTACACAGGGGATATTTTACCTGTGTTGGCTGTATGTTCTTTGTCCTTTTTCTTATGTCTTCTTTTCTCAAGGTTGCATTACCTTAGTGATCAGTAATTGATGCTTTGTGATGTGTGTTTATGCTCTTGTGGGCCACTGGTATCATCTTGTGCTTGTGATCGGAGGACTGCTTTCCTCTGTGATCAACCTCTGCTTGTATTCTCCACAGCCCATACACATATTGGGAATTCAATGTGTACATCTCAGAATATACTCCATTTTCAGACTGGATCCCAAGATTATGGTACCATGTGATACAACTCTTTCTTCAGTAGTTCCAAGTGTAGTTTGGCACCTGCTATTAATTTTCCTGTGACATGTAACTGTAGCTCAATATAGCTTTTTTTTTTTCCCCAAAATGGAGCATTACCTATCCACTAAATACCAGATGAAAAAAAGAACTGAGTTGGAATGGGGAAAGGTCCAATTGTATTATCCTTTGATTTGACAGCAGAAGTCAAATTTTATAGCTCTCTGCTTATGAAAAAATGAAATAATCTTACATGACCAGGTTGTATCGATGTCTGTTTTCCACAACCTCCTAAAACTCTTGACAGGTTCATCCAAACTGGCTGAAGGTCTGAAAGGTGGATTGTCCCTGCAAGATTTTCAGAAATAAGCAATGAAGAAAAAGAGGAAGCCCTTCAATATGTTCGCCTCTTAGAAACATCAGAAAATCCCTACAGCAATCAATAAAACTACAGGAAACAAATTTTTGGATCTGCTGTCAAAATCTACTGAATTTTATCTTCAAAAAAGTCATCGAGCCTTTCCTCTTAACCCATCCCAAGGTCAGCAAGATTCATACTTTCACACAAAAAAAAAGGAAGCAGACTTGAAAGGAATCAAAACCTAAATTGCCCATCTGACTGCTAAAAATTACATTATCTGTCGCCTGTTCTCCTACTAGGGCTACACAGTTACATAAAACAGCATCAATTTTTAGCATCCCTGGGCCCTCCCCGGGCTGCAGGCTGGTCTCTGCTCCAGCGGGGGCTCTGCAGGGCTGCAGGGGATCCCTGCTGCGGGCCTGCAGCCCCTCCTGCCCTCCTCCTCCTCTGGCCTCCG